TTGCCAAGTCCATCTTGCCGAGCGATTGATATGATGTTGAAGATAGCTATCCGCTTGTGTGACATAGAGCCTCCGCATACTCTTTGTGCGCATTGCCACACTTGAAGAAAGAAATGGCACGGTCCACAATGCAGGAGTGACCATTTCTGAAGGATCTAGAAATCGTAGAACCGACGTTTTATGTAACTTCCTCAGTGGTATCCAAGCAGCGCGTAGTCCAAGATAGTTGTCCAAGGATTTAGGAATCCGAGGTGGCATATGTTTGGACGATGAGAAAACATCTTCAGATAACTTTTTGGGAAGATCTCCGAAGGCTGACATCAGGGCTACTTGTACATCTCGAGCATCGGGGCCTTTGATTTGCACCACCTTCACTAAACCTCTGCTCTTCAAGCGTTCATTGATCGTAGTGGTAGCACCACACGCTTTCGGCATCAAGAGATCATCGTCTGCATTGCTTTTCTTCAACATCTTCTCCCAGGACATAGAATAACCTTGATCGCAAAGAGATGCTTGCGCAGCAGCCAAGACGTTTTGTTGAGTTTGAGTCCAATCTTCAGATGCGCAACTATTAGCCCTTGAGCGTTTAGATACTGCGTGATTTGTAGACCAAATTCCCATCATCTGGGGTCCATATGGTAAGAATACGACTTCAATCTCCCATGGTCGATCCCATGATGGTGGAAGAGTAGCTTCTATCTGAGTGAGTCTATCTTCAAGCTTTTCCACACGTGAAGTAAGACCAGAGCGGCCCCTAGCATTCGCTGAGAGAGCAGAGGATGTCTTGGTTGCCTGAGAATCGAAAGACTCATTCAGGTTTCTATTAGTACCTATACTGCTCTCGTCAGCTGCAGCATTAATCTTTTCGAGCTCTTCTACTCTATTCTCAAGCTCATTGATACGTTCACCATGATCATCAATCTCTCCTTGGAGCTCCTCAAACCCAGTGTTCGAGAATGATGTATTCTCAAGAGCATCGATTCTATCCTCATGGTTGCGCTTGGTATTTGGAAAATCTGTTATGATATCACGAAGTCTGGGGACAAGGTGCTTATCGGCCTCATCGAAATTAGCTATGAGATCCATGAGAATATCCTCTTGATCACTGAGTCCAGGTCTAATCTGAGAAGCCTGGATAGACGGCGATCTATTGGAGCGTAGAGGTAAAGTAGCAGCTTGAGGCTTGATATTAATATTTGCCAGCGTTTTATTCATAGCTTGCTCATCTGGGACACCTTGAAATGCGAAATCCTTGGTTGCTTGCAGACTTGGTGTCGTTGTCAATACCTCGGTAGGACTTTCAAGAAATGTTCGACCGTCAGAGGTTTTATAAGCCTGTATAGGTCGTCCCTTACCTGTTTGCACAGCTTGCAATTGCGTGTTGAGTCGAGGAACATGACTCAAGGTATTGAGCCCCAGGCCAAAGAAAGGCCGCCTAGCCTGGCTCGAACTCATTGAAGCAGTCTCTGAGGGCAAGAAGCACTGCGATGGAATTGGCGGGAGTTCCTCTGGTCCGGTTTCAGATTGTACAAGCCGGCTCCATTCGAGAGTTTCCTGGATACTTCGGCGGGCGGGTTCCAGATTGTCATTTTCAGGTCCGTTGAGATTCTTGGGAGTAGTTGGCTGACGGTTCACTTGAGCCATAGGAGTATTAGACTCCAAATTGAGTCCCGAGACATTACTTAAAGCTCGTGATCGCTGGTCCTCTGTTGGCTGTGAAGATTTACGACCATGAAAACAAAGATGATGTCCGCATGCGCAGACTTCCGCTCTCGGCAACCCTCCATTCTCTAATATTGCGCTGGCCGTCGAATTCTGAGGTTGCGCCCAGAATTCATAACATCCACATTTTGTTCCGAAATTCAGGTCCGTATAATTACAGGCTCCACCCAATCGTGTTCTCCCAATTGTATTATTAACACTGTTGCTTCTATATTGGTCTGGTGTATCGGGGACCGTCGCTGTGTGAGAGGCAGCCATGGGAAGATAGTTGCCAGAAAGGAAGAAGTAGGAAGCGTCGCATCGAAGAAATTAGAGGGCGGGGGTTCGTAAGTTTAGATCGCGATAAGAAATACTTTTCGAGGTGCCAGCCTTATTAAATTGCAAATTGCAAATGGCAATAAACGCGACGGATTCGAAGAGTTCAATATTTGAGCAGAGCAGAGCACAGCAGAGATGGGACTCGAGGTTTAAATAAAATGTCCAAGAAAATCAAGGCGCGCTGAAGTGAAAGGTATGGCTGTCGACGCGTCGCAATCAATAAATTTCAGTGCATGTCAAGGGTTATCTGTGCCCCCATTAATTAATATTTGTATCGCCTTGGCAATCAGAAAGATAAGATTGACAACTGACTTGATGGTTCGTCGCATGGAGGTACTGACTATAGATGGATCGATTCACAAAGCCAGCAAACATATGCATAACAGAGAAAGAAAGTGGAAATAACTAGGAAACTCGTTGATTGAAGTACGAGAGGGAAGAAGGAAAGGCAGCAGGAAATTTTGAAGATGGTACGCAAGTTTATTACTAGGTTGGCAAGTAATAAGTATGTAGGTAGGAATTTAGGAAGTTTGGTCCGACACATAACACTTCGTAGGTACTCGTAGAAATCAATAGCCATCGGTGTGTGGGGTAAAGAGAGAGAAAAAGGAACGCAAGAGGAAGTACGAGAATAAATTGATGAATTGAATTAGAAGACCTAACAGTTTCGTCAACCAATTCCGTTTCCTGCAGAGTCATATCAGATCCTTAGAGCTTGCAGTCTGCATATATGGCGTCTTGATGTACCATAAATCCAATTAATATCCAAGCCCAAGATTGCTACTTTCAGCCATTGTTAACACAATGCAAAGTTTTTGATAAACGCTTGCACGCCTTACTTTTCTTCGAAGGCTCGGGGCGCATTCCCCGGATCATCTAATTGGTGGTATTGCATGCAGTTCATAAGCAAGGGAGGGATTATTCAATGTAGGTAGGTACGAGGTATGTTTAGCTTGCTTGCCTCGTCGCCGCTTAGAACTGTAGAAAAACTTCATGCAGGTGATTGGTTGAGGTTCTATTTTCAGATCTCGGGAATAGCTTCAAATGGCAACTTCTACGGTGAACGCATTCGTATAGTTACATTTGATCGGCATGGGCACAGTAGTAGTCAGTATGCTGCTAATTACGTTATTCAAGCTTCTCAGCGTGACTCTCTTCGCAAGCATTCATAAATCCTATTGAAAATTCTGGTACTTTGTACCTATTATGTACCATGACATTCCTCGAACATGATAATAATTAAAGAAATCAAAACTTCAACCATCAGTGCCGTCCTACTAAATCTAAAGCATTCGCCTTCGCAATCGTATCCCAAGCCAAACAGATAAAATTCAACCCCTCTAACTTAGATCAGTCGACCCTCAATCTCATCCATCCTCGCCACAATTTATTAGCATTTTATAGCGTAAACCCCCTTACCCCATATACTACCAAATCTGGCAATGCATCAACCAACCAAGCTTCGGTATAATTAGTATAGAAAGGAATGACTGATCACCCACTCGCCAGTGGCATGGCCTTATTTCTCTCTCTCTCTCGGTGGATTGTTCTCATTCTCAGCAGTACAAATAGCGGCCGTATAAATAATCGGAGGCGGTATGATTTTTACCGTCTCGAATACGAAGCATTCCTAATCGTTGGTAGTTGAGCGCTTTCTCTTGCATCGATGATTCCATTGTATCCTTGTCTCATACCCATGGAGAGGACTTCAGTATAGTAACTAATGATAAAGACTAGATCCATACCGATGACAGTGAAACTATAGTCATTGACTATGAGTTTAACATGACTGTCGACGTTGCCATTCACATCAAGAATTCGATATGATCCAAGATCTCACCAGCATCTACAGCCTTGAATGTTCATCTCTATCCATTCTTTAGACATTCAAAATCCACATGATCTCGAAATACCCATATAGCTTCAAATACCAGAAAAATTGAATATGAACAAACTTGAGCAAGAAAATACTCAAAGGAGATGAGAGAATAGAAAAGAAGACCTGCTTACAACGCAATCCAGCACCGCTTTCTTCAGGCCATTGTAAAGATGACTGACCATATTGTCCCTCGAGTTTGCAACACTGGTACCCAGTGAGACTGAGAAGTCTTCCTTGCTAAGTTATAAAATAGAACCATTCGAGCTTCACAATGTGAGTTGATCTGGAAGTTTTCGGTGGTCGCTGTGGACTTCAATAGAATCCATCTGATAATCTTCAAACTTTGCCAGTACAACATGCCGGGTATACTTTCGCAGATCGAACAAAAAGGCTTCTGATTTTCCATTCTTCTAGTGACGAAAAGGTAATCTCATTTGGTAATCATTCTTGTTGGTTGACTTCCCTTGAAAGCTTTTTAGCACTGGCTGTAATGCTCGACGCAAGAAACGTGAAAATTCTGGAAACATCCTAGAACAAAGCATTGAAGATATAACCAAAGGTAGCAAAGTCGCACGAGATGATAAATTTTCTTGATGGGTTGAGAAAATGAAACGGTATACAAAAGGAAACGAGCAATTTGACTACTGGACCAGGGACAGAAAGTCGAACGTTGGGAAATCGAGATTTGGCTCAGATTTACCTTTGATTCGATAATCACATACTTCCATGCAACCCAAATAAATCTATTAATAATCCGACAGAAATATCGTCGTCGCATTGCATTGAATCAATGCTATATTTGCACGCGGATGTCGGCATTCGATATGCAATGAGGTTCAATGGCATCCCCGGAAAAGCTGTCCATCCAATCACACACTCGTTCATTCCAATCTGCCAAGATGGTTAAATAGTCGCAGTGTTTCCTGTCTCTGAGATGGTAGGCTGATGCGGGATCTTATAGGTTAATGATCACGGCGGCTAGAAGACAAATATTACACTTCAGCGGCAAAAAAAGGTGTTGGCCATAGATATGTTCCATTGTCCCATATATTGAAGTAAGGATAACTTGATCCTTCATCTCTTCATGGTTGTTGTAGCTTCATCTCCTTTTTGAGAAATCAAACATACGAAAAAATATCTAGAGAATTAAATAAGTTATGGTTCGAATGATTTTGGGAACGACAGCGGGTATGTACCAAAGAAATGCTGGGGCTTCGCTTCGGGGTTGTTAGGCCCGAGCGCCTTCCCAACGGGATAGAGTGACGCTGACAGCTTCTGAAAAGTATCGCTAGTTCTCTCGATAGTCAATGCCATATCAACAACTGCAGCAGGATTTGTTGCAGATGATACGAGCGTCACATTTGCTCTCAACATACCGGAGAAAAATACAAACAATGATCTATATTTCAGCATATCAGGTCCGAGCAGCTGCTCCTGGATAGTAAGTTCGAAATTCAAATGTGCAAATTGTTCCATCTAATCGCATGAAAAAGGCTGTTGGCATGGGATCAAACAAGATGAAAGATTCCCTTATGTTTATGATATATGCCGATTCCACCGGAAAGAATGTAACTCTCAGTCCTCGGATAGCTTCCGGGGAGAATGAACCATCGCATACCACAGATATCGTGGTAGAATCTCTTGCTGGCACGGGAATTTCCAACGACACTTTCACTTGGAATGGGAGATGTCTAAACTGTACCTCGTGGAAAGGAGGATCTTTAGGCCCGACAACAAATCAAAACGCAACGTTCATATGGGCAAATGGACCGCCCGGAACCCTGAAGTCAAACTCATTACACGCCGACGTCAAGAGACATGATTCTTATGGGGTTTTTTCCATGGATTTATCGAAAGCGGTGGGTACATCAGGTGTACCTGCGGTTCCAACTTCGAATTCTAAAGGCACGATCCAAATCTCTGAGAAAGGGGACAGCACCATCTCATCCGCTGCTCATGCTGTTTTGATGGTCCTAGTATTTGTTGGACTTTTACCATTGGGTATAGTCATTTTGAGATTTCTGAATAGCCCCAGGTGGCATGCTCTCAACCAAACCATATCTCTTGCAATTGCACTTATAGGCGTTGGATTAGGCGCGAAGCTGGGCACACTTTACAATCGGGTATGATAGATTGCCTCTGTCCCTAACGATCATTCTCTAACATCATTACAGACGAAAGGTTTCAAATCTGGGCATCAAATATTTGGCCTTATCATTATCATAGCCATGATCGGACAATGGATTCTTGGCTTTCTTCACCATCGAATGTACAAGAAAACCTCGGCCACAACCAAATTTGCCCCTATACATGTTTGGCTAGGTCGCGTTATTATCCCTGCTGGAATCATAAACGCTTTCATGTAAGTCTCCTCTCATCACCCATGTATCAAATCTAACACAAACCCAGTGGTTTCCCCCTCGCCCTCAACCCCAAATTCGACTGGGCACTTCTAGTCTGCACCCTTCTCATGGTCATCATCTGCGCCCCCGTTCTCTTCTGGGGCTACAAACGTCGCCAAGCAAAGAAAATCGAAGATATCACAGGGGAAGTAGAAGGCTACGAAGCAGAGCCGTGGAGAAATCCACAGGCACAGTATGATATTGGTCTTAACCATATGAATATGAATATGAACTCCAATCTTGGGGTACCTCCACCTTACCATGCGGGAGGACATCAGCAGCAGATTTCTCAGCAAAGGATACCGGGCCAGTCGTCGCATAATTTGCCGGTGCAACAGGGGACGCAGTTTGTTTGAGGATTGAAATCGATTCGAGAATCGACACACGGCGTTGTGTTCTATTGAAAAGGGCGAAGATCAATTGGGGTGATATAGGGAATATTAAATATGGTAAACAAGACACATGGAGTGTTTAAGGGTCTAAGGAATGACAGTTATGTGGCAAAGGGTTAAAATTTCGGGATACCGAGGAAATATAATCAAGCATAATGACGGCGTTTGGTTTGGGTCATGAGTCGCGGAGGAAACGGGATACGCATCAAGGATTCGTGTAAGGCCTGGTTGCCAACATAAAATAGGGTGTTATTTTGGGGTATTTGGACATATCTCTTTGAGAATACATTGGAACACTGTACACTTGATATCTCACACTGTCGAACCTTCAGAGCATTTGAGGTCTCGAAATGATACACTAAAACAACTCACACTAGCGACAAAATTCATTTTGAACATGCAAAAAGGCAATTGGCATTTATCATGTTTTTTTTTGACTATGTATCTCCAAAATCACAGTAGATCAATTCCACTTTCTATGTGTATTTTTCATATCATCACACCATATGATACCCTCCCTTAAATCCTTTCACGCCCATCAAAAATTAAACATTAAACCCCAACTCCCTATTCCTAACCCTCGCCTCCTCCTCCGCCTCCCTATCTCCCTCCAAAATAATCTCATGTCCATCTCCCTCCCTCACAAACGTACTCGCCAAACAAGTCACTCCTGCCATTCCCGCCAAAACCCAAAACACAAGTCCTACATATCCATGACTTAATCCTACTCCATAAAGATAACCGCCCAGAGCAGGTCCTACGGTTCTCGCCGCACTACTGGCCGTTTGTCCGATTCCGTGAATAGTACCGAGAACAGAGGGATGTGGCGAACAATTGTTGATGAGGATTGTGGTTGCTGGGCCGGCGAAAGTACGAGAGATGGTTTGGATGAGGAGGACGAAGGTTAGAGAGATCCAGATTATGGGACCGGTCTTTTGGGATGGGGGTGGAGAGGAGGATGGGATCAGAGAAAGGAAGGGGGCGAGAGTATAGGCGATTGGGAAGCCGTAGAGGAAAATGCGCCAGCTGCGGACGGTGCCTAGGCGAGTATTTACTATAGGATATAAGAATAGCTGCATAGTGATACCAATCATGCCTAGAATAGACATGGCGAGACCAACGTCGCGGGGTGGAAGACCAATGCCGCCGGTGAATTTGAAAGGTGGATGTGGGGTGTAGTCTGCAGGAAGAGACTTGGAAGGTTGCGAAGGATTGTACACAGAGGTGCTGAGGAATGAGTACCAGATACTCTGAAAAGTTCCCATCGAAAATGCTAGTAAGGCATGAGAGACTAAAGTGCATACCACATTATATGTGAAAATTTGACGGAAAGGTAGCCGATTCGTATATCGAGGAGCAACTCGCTTCGGAGATTTAGGGGTAATTGGCGTAGGTCCAATGGTTGGCGAAGAAGCACCGCTTGAAATAGCAGTATACTCACCCTTACTGGAGGTTCCTATTCGAAGACGACGGAAGAAATGCTTAACAGCTCGGCCGGCATTGATGCCCCAATCTTCTTTATGGGCATACAGTTCATGTGTCTATATTGGTTAGTAGAGCTTTACTTCACGCAGAGGCAATGAGAATACTTACTTCTTCTAAAGCAAATATGACTGCAAGACATGCGGAGGCAAGAAACAAGGCACTAAGCAAGTTCGGAGGTGCATATGGATACTTTTCTAACCATTTGATACCTCCGAACACACTTGGGTAACTTCCTGCTGGGTCGGCCGAGATACCACCTAAGATTGGTCCAATGATGGTTCCAACATTACCACACATGGGCAATATTAAGAAAGCACGGCTCTGATATCTAGACACTGTTAGTGGTCTGTATATTCAGAGACAGAAGATGTAAAAGTCTCACTTCTTTTCCTTGACAATCTCGCTAATCATGGTTCTCATCACACCCACATTTCCATTGAGTGCACCACCGATCATTCTGAATATCAATGCTTGCCAAAAGTTCTGTGCAAATCCAAAACCCAAACAAGAAATTGCAGTACCACTCAGACCTATCAAGAGAACTCTCTTTCTACCTGATCGATCTGAAAATCTTCCCCATAACATAGCAGTAGTCAACTGGGCCAAGGCAAATGACCCGGCCATAATACCTGCCTGTGATGCAATGGTTGAATCTGGTAGTGAGGGATCAAAAGATTTTAATTGGTAGAATAAATAGCTCTTTACATATGTTAGTGTCTTGTAACATTTTGAGAATTTATAATTGGAAAATGGAATCACATTTCAGTGCTCTCGAGATTGAAATCAGAACTTACTCTCAAACTTGTCTGTACAAGGGGCTCGGATAACCTTGCGCAGGTAAGAATAGCTAATTGTCTCTTATGCGGCAAACTACCCCAAGCTACAGGTCCCTCCTTTTCCGGCTCTGTAGCTGGGATTTCGATTTGTAGATCTTCATTGTTCTCTTCTTCTATAACAGATTCTCGTCGTTGTAAAGGGCGTTTTCCGTGTACTTGCTCTCCAGTTTTGATTGGTGCGTATGCATTGGTTCGCGATACAGTACCGTAAGAAATTCCACCATCGTTATTAGCATTTATAAATGTCTCCTCATTGGCTTCTTCTCCTACTGGATGTCTTCTTCTGTTCCGTGATTGATCTTTCGGGTCATCCGAATTATTTGAATTTTTAGAATTATTGCTAGACATTTTTTGCAGTTGACTCCGGGAGGATCAGGTGAGCGGCGCATACAAAAGCAACAAGGGTTTTCAAGGTGGTGCAGTATTACTCAGGGTATTCCCAGGCCTTATAAACAAACTTCCAAAATTCGTGAAGATGGTCAAGACCTGCAACAGACCCAACACCAACAGAGAAAAGTCTTATATAGTAAAAAGAGGGTTGACCGCCAGTACAGCTGCGTCCAAGGGCCCTTTAAATAAAACATTCCCACAATGTCCCCGGATCAAGATATCCGTAATGATTTATTCTATCCAAGGTTTGATTGGTTGGTGGTGAATTGGTGAATATTGCGCTATGAGGCCCGGTACCGAAAATTCTGTCATTGAGAAAATGCTTGACGTACGCATTTATTACACAGCCACAAAGGGCCTTTGATACTATTGAGATGAGAATATGGTGTATACCTAGGTAGCATTTGTCGTCTTCATCGTCAAACATGTGTTTGCTACTTCTACGAAAGCAAGGAAGACGTTGCAGGAACTTCCGCAACTTGGATTCCTGCGTGGTAAAATCATAACATGATGGACTCGTAAAATATCGACGCATTGCTGGTAAATAACACTAGCAAAGTTGGGTATATTACCATTTTCAATATAGTTATTGAATTGTAGCCTCGGGAGAGTATGATTTATCCAGAGTCTATAATTTTCCAAGTGTGACAATCTTAATCCACTGCACCTCGTTTGGAAATTCTTGAAGGGCTGAGAATTATGGGCGATAGCATTGTGTTGTGATTCAATGTCAAATCCCAAGTTTGGGCAGTGATTTCACAGTATCACAAGTTACTTGTCTGTCAGTTTGAAATCTGAATGCCTCAAAAAGGAAAGGAATATGGCAACAGGCAAGCGAGTTAGGCAGATTCAGTTCTGGGAAGGCGCGGAGCACGATGTTTAGTCGTCCAGGTTCAACCGCACTTTCCCAACATAGCAAATCCCCGTTTACGGCCGTTGAAGGAACGACTTGTATATACTAGTTATGTGTCTACCTATGACGTTTGTACATGCCTTCGTATGTTACTTCAGCATCGGGGCCGATTCTTGTGTTGCACCTGCCTTTTGAATATCTGGAAATTTCTTCAATTACCTAGAGTTCATGTTGCTCGTGTTCCGATTCTCGAAAATGGAGTTCTTTACATCATTCACCTGAGTCTTAAGTCTTAGCCATTCTTACAACCTCTTTCAAGTCTGTGACCAGTGCGGTTCGGCTCAACAACTACTTGATGCTCATCGATCTAGTTAGATGGTCAATTGAGAAAACGTCTCCTTCACATTCCCCATCTGTCATCGCCATCATGCCAAATAAAAAGCACAAAAAGCCTTTCCATGTGTACGAGGATCATGACGCCACTAAACCAGAATACTGTACTGGCGGTTTTCTCTGCTCCCTCTGTTTCAAAGACAGTACAACTCTAGGACCTTGCACTGCATGCTGTAAAGGATGTCCAAACTGTGGTACCCTACTCAGTGAATCGTTGAAACAAGAACAAGGCGCATTAACTGAAGATGAGGTTTTGCATCTCACCAAGTCCGAATCAACAACAAATTCGCTATTGCAGATCCCATCTAACGGTGAAAGTCTAACTACTAAAGCCAGTAGTCAATCTATTAGCACCAGAGATGCAACTAAATCATCATCATCTCCACCATCTTATATCTGTGAACACGGGGTCCCTCCAGACAATGGGAATCAAACATACACCCCTACGACTCCTATTCGATCCCAATACGTTTCTAAAAACAACAGCCCAGCTTTGCATGGTCATCATAGTGAATTCCACTCGCCCATCAGCCAACAACAACGCAGTCCATATGTTTCCCCACGCACCATGCCAAATCACCAGTCTTTCCGCAACAGCAAGAGCCTATCTTTGACTGGCAGCCAAGATTCGCTAATACCAATTTCACCAGCGGGAACACACACCGGCCAACATCGCAGCCCGAAAGCATCTCAATACGGTGTTCGAACACATGCTGATAAGTTAAGAGCTGCATTAGCATGCCCAGTCGATGAACTTCCTCAGATAAAGTATAAGCATTCGAAGAGGACTCCTTTGAGGAAGAAGATAGGCTTGCTTTTGAGAAGAGTCCGGGTAAAATGAAGTGCCGATCCAATGCACCAAGACAAGCACTGACTTTCCCTCGTAGTACAAGTTTGAGAAGCCCTTGGTTACGAGCAACCATCAGTTGATTAAGAGCAGTGATGATGATTTGAAGTAGTCGAGGGATCAAGAATGTAAGTTTATGTGTTTCTCTCCACAAGCGATTTAAAGATCCATATCGCTAATATCAACTCTAGGTAAATGATAACCTGCGCCAGAAAATAAAGGCAAAAATATCTTGGGGCAACAGAAAATGTACTGTTTACAGCGAATATTTTGGTGGAGCTTTGTCGAAGAAAGAATATTGTGTATGATATACCCAACCAGCGTTTAAGTTTTAATGATAATATCAATTGCACATTGATCTTCTTTGGGGCGTAATTGTGGTTTATGGTGCGTAATAGGCTGGCTATATGTAAATCTCATTTCACTTACTAGCTAGACAGGTCATGATATTGCGCTGCACGAAACAATACAAGATCACATTCTCAAATGCAGCACTGGAAAGTAAAGAATTAAGATGACTGGTGACTATCGCCCCTATACATATCACTGAATAAAGTCACGGTACTGGGGTGGAAATACACATGAAATATACAGGGAAAGTTTGTATAATGATTGATATCAGTCCGGTGACTCCAGTCAAGACTTCAGTATGAATTGATTTCAAAGCCTATTCGTGTCTACAAATATATCCTCGATCATCCTGAACGCCAGCAATGCTACGCTTTTGAGTTTCTGTACTTCGTTTCATAACTTCGATGACTTTCACATCTTCATCCCCATAAGTCTTGAATCAATCAATATTCCTTCAGATCACCCTCCTTGCCCCTAATCCTGTGCTCGGTAGCGTCCGAATCCCAAGTATTCATGATATTCGTCTTGGAATTTTGATCCTCCGCCTTTACTCTTCCCAGGGCTTCATTTGCAAACCCCCTTGAATCTGCCAGTATCATCCTCGTCTATAACAACTTCAATTTCCCAGTAATCTGATCAATAACACTCTTTGGCGCAGGACCAATTCCCAAAACAGTATGACTCCCACTCGCAATTTGAGTTCTACCCGCATCCGCAATCTGCTCGGCCACAACCCCCAAACTAATAGCCTGCGCCTGTAAGATCTGCAATTCATCTTCAGACTTTACTTGCAGCGCGACCTTTGCCTGACCTTCCCGTTCCCAGCGGCGTAGAATCAATGCATTGGCGGGTTGGCGCGAGATAGTTTTGTAGCAGGCGAGTGTGGCGTGGGAACATTGTGCAGCGATTTTTCCTAGAGAGTGGGTTGTTAGATCGTAATGTATCTCAATGTTGTAGATAGCTGGAATAGAATCAAAAACACACCTTTCGTCATGCCCAAATCCGTTCTCACAACCAAGACCAATTTACATTCTTCTCCGGTGTCCACAGGTCCGCCTTCACTCTTCTCCTTCTTCTCCTTGTTCTTCTTCTCACTCTTTTTCGTAGTATCGTTCTGTGTTACACGTAACCCATCTCGTTTATCAGCTTCTAACCCATTGGACCAGTTGGGCGCATGGTCTAATATAGACGCATCGATATCTTCCTCCTCGCTTTCTTCCTCATCGTCGTAATGCGCGATTCCTCGTTCCTTGGGTTTCCGTGGCATGAAAGGAATTGGGAAGAATCCAAGACTAGACGCAATTCCAATCATATATCCACTGAGACCGGCTATGATGGCGGTGCCGATTAGCATGGCCGTGGGAGTGGGTGGTGCACGCATATCTGCCATGATTTCTCTGAAAACTTTCCGATCGGAAAGCTGTTTGCTGAATAAAGAGACAGCTGCAAATTCCCAGATGCAAGGAAATTTGGATGAAGTTAAGCTGCAGGGATTATTTTTGTGGAAGTCTCGGTAGCTCTCTCTGCCATGTCTTACCTCGATACGTTGTCTCGTTGTCAAGCTCTCAAGAATTTTCAGCCTTAAACATCAGGGGACACGTTCTAGAACCTCGAAAAAGCTTGGGATTGTCACATTCTGAAAGCCTCATAATTCAACAAACAATTCGGCGCACCAATTCCGTCCCCCGTATTGCCTGGACTTTCGGGGCTTCAAAGTTGAGATGTGCAACAAATTAATTGGGAAATGAAAGTTCGTCCGGGATTGTTCGATCTAGATGTGCATGAGGGCCGTGAATCTGGTTTTCAAGGCTGCCAATTCGTTCTTTTGTTTATATTGCTTCTTTTCTGCTTCTTGTTTAGAGGTTCATATCATATGTGTGATTGGGATTTCAATCATGATACTGCTTTAGCAATTGATGAAGATTTAAATACGAAAAGTACTCGGAATATGTATTGCGGAGATCCGATGGAGTACAATTGAACGGGAAGACAAGGCCTTCGTGTAACAAGGTCTATTCTCGTAAGAGTACGACTTCAATTGACTGGGAAACCGGTCATACTCCCCAAGTTGATTTATGACACTTTTAGCTGGAGGAGTGGATGACAAAATGAGAACCTCATTGTGGGAAATGTGTTCAAGCATTGATTCCGCATATATGATGAGAGAGCAGCCTCGATTCTCACGTCTATTTCATATATTCAGACATCGTATCGTCTTCGAATTCAAATATCAGTATACAGTTACATTGAGGGTAATGGGGGTTCATTCTTCCACCCTCATCGTGGGAACAATGGGGCCTGAATGCATGTCGTCTCAATTAGCCTGATATCTATTTTAGCCTCATTTTCTTCTTCTACTTTCAGCAACCATGCTGGATATTTCATCTTGTTTCCTAGGAGTAATTCTCTTTATTTTGGTTGTTGCTTTCGATACAGCCTGACCAAGAAAGTTCTACAGTACTATGATCATCTTTGAAAGCTTTTTGTTATCCATCATCATCTGGGGATACAAAGGTAGATCATGAATCTTTTGGAGAACTTCTTTTACTCAAATGAGTAGGTATTCATAGGCAACAAAACTATAGAGTGCAGGTGGGATGATCATTTATCACAAGATTCATAACAATTTTTATCTATGAGCACTCTATGAGCAACAAGACAATGCCATCTAGTGATGTTAGATGAGATAGTGTAACTGTCCCGACCAATTCTAACAACCATCATGTTTCACCTCACAATGACCAGACAACATATTCACGTTTATTGCCTTATCTGAATAGTAATAACTTTGTTTTTTCCTGCTTTTGTCATTGCAATATAAACTCCTTATGTAGATGATTCAGATACCCTGCTTTCAGGATGATGTGGTCTAAGTATGAGCAATTCGCGGGACTAGTTCACAACAAAGCAGCTAAAACATATATTGAAAGCTGCCTTTCCATCAAATCTATGATTGAAGAATGTTCAATTTGCCGCATTGATCGAATAGAAGCAACTGGACTTGGATATCGTAATCGATCGCCCAAAATTAAGGAGGCTGTATCATCCAGAAGCAACCTGCACGGCAAGTTTGTTTGACCTGCTACCTACTGGCATAATTCAATTTCATTCAATAGCATTTCTCTAGGCTTTGAAAGCGGCAATGGATCAGGCAATAGTTATCGATGATGATGTTGCTGTTGTCATGATTGAAGATGACGACAGAGATGAGGTGGTGATTCTGGAACGAGGTAGGTTAGCCCGGCCTAGTTCTGCTTGCTCTTGTCCTCTTGTCTCACAGGTATATCTATGCTAATACCTCGCAAAAGCTCCCAGTATATCCCCAACGTACTTTTCAAACGCCGACATCATAAATCGAGCTTCAAGTCCAAATACCAGAGAACACCTCACAGGAGCAACCCTTAGATCCCAATTCGATAACTCTCCTGCTCCTGACCATTCAGCTTATTTTCCTTTCATTGACTTGACGACTCCTGTGGTATTCAGTACCACGAAACCCAAAGAGAGCAATAGCCCTGGAGATAAAGTTTGCAGTCTCTCAACTAGTCTTCCAAGCTTCATACTCCAAGACGAGGGGTACGAATCGTCAAGGCCCCGGGATATCGCTGCTGAAGCAACAGCCGATCAGGAAACATCACAAGATCGGATTCGTCTCTCAAGACAACCGGGTACTAAAGAAGGCTCTTCCAGCTCTCGCAGCGAAATGGTTGCCAATTCTCGGAACATGTCTCATACTCATTCTGTACCTCAGCATCGGTCTTCCAATGCAAGTTTGATCTCAATTTCAGATGAAGAGGACGGAGACGAAGAGAAAACGTCTACCGCCCAAGATATGAACTCGCACACAGATAACAACGCCGTTATAATCGAAGACAGCGATGACTTCGAATTCAAGCTTGAATCCCAACTCCTAGAGAAACCCGAGTTCGAGTTCTTGCGCGCTGTTAGTGTGAGTGAAAAGTCGAAACCCCAGCCGAAACTCAAAGTCTTTCCATTACGCAATCCTCCAATTGCCAGTCCTTATTTCGAATGCGAAACTTATTTGCACGGAAAGCTCATGTTAAGACCGGCGAAAACTGTAGAGCTGGAGGATGGCGATTTTATTTGCATTAAGCACATTGTGAAGTACGTCAAGCCTGAAGACATTCGTGACCTTAGTCTTGACAACACCCAAAATGCTTTCATCACTATTCGGGGATTCCGATTACAAAGATGCAAGTTTCTCAATGGCATGCTGGAAAAGAAGATGAATGAAGTTTGTCTATGTTACGAAATTGACCTAGATGACCCACGGGCACCAGAAGAGCAGAGTCTTGTCGAAGTACCTTTGAGCTCTGTGAAAACTCTACGTAGTCTTCGTTGGACCAATCATAACTACCCAAAGCATCGCAACCTGAATCGTGATGCTACCTGGACCGATGGAGACACATACAACAAAGGGGGGCTTACTGTGCGCTGGAAATACACTTGCAAATATGCATCAGCTTCAGCTAGAGAAAAGAACATATATGCAGAGAGAACTCTAGAACGGATCACGGAGGAATGGTTGTCATCAGTACATCAAAGCGCGCAATCATATCTGGCCTCAAACACCCAACTTCGAACCGAATGGCGTGGCGAAACGGTTCCTGGTGGTACTTATATACCAGAATGCTATGATATTGATGGAGAAGAGACAGCAGGCGAAGTTCAACAACCTCGAAATTCTGCCGTGGTCGAGGATGCGGAAAGTCTTTCAGAAAAATTCATAATCGTCGACGAGGATAGCGATGACGATTGTGCTTCCTCACCTGCAAGATCCCAACAATATGAGGTAGGTGGAATTCAAACCAAACGCAAGTCAGATTTCTCGTCCTCTTCGGATCGAGATAGCGACCAAGAAGACAACAAACCAGCGAAAAGAGCCCGCCAAGTTCCCGAGGACGATATCGAACAGATTAGGCAGCGTTTAGGTCGGATTAAGCTTGCGTTCAACGGTAAAGAATATGTCAAGCACTCTTACAATATCGGGACATCATCAGAGACGGTTCCAAAAAGTGAACCCGAAAGCAAGTTGACCTCTACACAACAAATTCGTGACACGGGAAGACTAGCTAGAGGCTCTCGATCCAACAGAGGTGCTCGAACAAGATTGAGGGGTCGCTTGACTTTACCGAGAAGAAGTGCCCCTAACACTCGAGGTCCCTATCCTGAGGCTAGTATTCCACTGCCCTCCTTCCCAGCTCCATCTCCAAAAATTCCTCCTCAAATCGAGATATCTTCATCCGAGTTAGCCTCTCCACCACCTAGCGGAATTGTCGACCTATTGTCTCACCCTTCCCGATCTTCCTCGATGGTTTTGGTGCACAGCTCAAGACCGCCCTCTCTGAAAGAACCACTCGCCCTGGCTCCTGGACAAACCTTTACTTACGGCGATGCATTCTGTGGAGCAGGCGGTACCACGCGTGGTGCAGTCATGGCAGGTCTCCGCGTAAAATGGGGATTCGACTTCGATCAGCACGCCTGCACAACATGGCGTCTCAATTTTCCCGGCACGACTTGCTACGAGATATCATCAGAACGCTTCGTTTCTCTAGCTACTCCTTCTCCATGTTCTTCAAACATCCCTAATGACGTCAAAGTTGATATTCTTCATCTTTCACCTCCGTGTCAATATTTCTCACCTGCGCATACCGTTGAGGGTAAGAATGATGAGATGAATACTGCGAGTTTGTTTGCTGTGGCTGCGGTAATCAAAGTTGCGAAACCCAGGGTTGTAACGTTGGAACAGACGTTTGGGATTTTATATCCGAGGTTTAGAGGATATTTTTCGAGTTTGATTTGTATGTTCACTAGTTGTGGGTTTTCGTTGAGGTGGGCGATCGTGCCTTTGGCTCAATGGGTAAGTTCCTCCTGTTTTCTACGCTTAGCGAGCTCAATTTGTTGACTAATGATTTAGGGGCTTCCGCAAAGACGATTCCGTTTGATTATTATCGCATCATGGTGAGTTTCCTTAGGAAGTATTCCATTCTTACAGTTTAACTAACAGCCTCTTAGCCCAGGCGAGCCCCTTCCCCCCATGCCACCACCAACGCACTCCCCACCCCACTCACCTCCCTCTTCTCTCCACAAAACCGGGCCTTTCAAAACCGTCTCCCAAACTCTCCGCGAAATTCCCGAATCGGCAGCAAACCACTCACCCCACCTTCTTCCAGAAAAAGATCTCAAACCATATAATGCCCACGCGATTCTTCCACGCACAATGACGACCAGTGGTGGTGATAACTGGCATCCGAGCGGAAAACGAGGATTTACTGATCGAGAATTCGCTTGTTTACAAGGGTTTCCGTTAGAGCATAAGTTCGGACAGAATGGGATTAAGAGACAAATTGGGAATGCGGTGCCGCCGGTTGTGGCAAAGGTGTTGTTTGAGGGGATTAGAAGGTTTATGGAGGGGACAGATGGGGTTGTGAGGGATGAGGGGAATGGAGATGGAGATGGAGATGGAGATGAGAACCGGGATGGGGATGGGAATGGGGAGGTGGACGATAAGATGGATATTTGCGAAGATATCGACATGGACAGAGTGCACATTGATGATAGTGATCATCAAGTAGAGGTCGTGGATCTTATTGACGAAGCGGACGATACGGATTCAGAAACAAAAGCTAGGAGTGTGTTAAGCGAAGAAAGTGATGACGAGATTGAAATTGTTGGGGTCGCAGAAGTGGGAAAGCATATTGTTATTGACTAGGTAACTAATTAGTTGCGAATCTCAACTTGAGATGAGAGTACAAGACGTGGGAAGGCGTTTTCAAATTGCATAGATTAATATTGTTTGTCACACACCATCTGGTCATGCTTTACAAGGTGAAAATCGGACTAGTCAAGATATTACAGTGCCTAGATCGAGCAATGAGGAACTCCTAGCAAAGCCTGATAAGTTAGAAGTCATCTTTGAAATGATTCCTCCGAAATTTGCACATGACTGCAGACGTCTCTGACATATTGTTTCAACTGAGTATTCTACAATTGTCCACTATATGTCTTACCCCGCAGTCGCGAAAAGCACAACTATTGCTATAGCGATGTCACTAATTTTTTCAGCTTATTAGATAGCAGGGGTAGCTACTGTTGTCCTGCGATTTCACCGTCTATTTTTGATGAAGTATGTCATTATTGCGGCAGTATGCGCATTGACTCCATATATATGCAGGAGGCATAGATATTTTCCAATAACATGATACCGAGAATTATGCAAGACCTTTCAACTGGTGAGATCCATACCGAGTAAGTGAAACTCAAGCCGATACTGGGCGAGGTAAAGCTGGAAAGCAATTTCTTATTCTATACCACCCTCCTTCCATGCCCATTCTAGATAGGTAAACTGCGAATCGATCAGACAATCAGCCTCGGACAATCAGCCCCCAGAGAAGCATTTCGTTCCTTTCTTTTACAGATAACATAAATTCTCCTCGCCACATGTGTCAGATGTCCATGGCAGCTAGTCACTTGAATGATAGTAGCTAAATATTCAGCGTTTCTGATAGTTGTACCATTACTAAGCTGCTTCGTTGGAGCACACTCTAGGCGAAAAGGAGAGACACAATGAAGAATTGAAAAAGAATTCTATCTCAGTAACATAAAATTTAATTTTAATACCTTTTACAACGTATAAAATACTAAAAAGTCCTTTAGATATCATTGCGATTAGTGCGTGTCGGGCCGGGGTCTCAAAGTCAACGAGCTCGCTACTCCAATATGCTCATCTGTCTGAAAATACACGTCGAATTTGGACGGGAAACACCTCTCAAGACCTCTATTCGATTTGAGCATCTACAAGACGATCAAGACGGCAGCATCACTTGATGTTCTGACCTAGACTAACAATGTGATTTACCACTCAACAGTTTACTGATAGCTCAAAAGTTTACCGCATCAACAATAAAATTACATCAGTAAAGACCATTAACAACCATCACTAATTGATATCGATGCTAGTAAACAGTAATATAACAACTTGTATTGGGTATTTTGAAACTTGTATTCTTACATATTTGCCTCGTCATGCCAGCCCAGCCTTTTCACCAGAAACCCATTTGTACCATCCAGTAGCGATCCAATATCCTTGATCTCGCTAGTGTCATTCTATACGCCAACGCAGTACTGATTCCATTTCCGAGCCACTGACTCACGCTCTTGTAAGTCCCCACATGAAGATCAATTGTACAGGGTATGAGTAGATAAAGAGAAATTGTGTCCTTCGGCTCTTCTGCGATCGCGCAACTGTTTGCATGGTTCCTCGCTCATCAGTTGTATTTTCAGGAAGTAAAACGTATTTTAAGGATCGTAGCTGGTACATCTGTCAGAGGCACGGAAAAGAATAACATTTAGGGGGGAAACATACCAGAAACAAAGCGTTGGCGAGGAACGTGTAACTGAAAACAGTCCACCCAATCCAACCGCCAGTTCCTTTTCCGCCGTTGATGATCTCACTGACGACTAAAGTGGCAATAACTCCAACGAACTTATATCCTGAGTAGGCGACCAAATCAAGCAGCTGGGACTCGTTGGAAATTGATAGGAGATAACATCCAAGCTTCAATCCCAGAATTTCAATAAACACGATAAAAAATGCCCATCCTGCCGTTGATCCAAGAAGTTCTGGTTGAAAAGCTCCTCTGAGGCCGGCCAACAGTGTGGAAAGGAGGATATAAGTTACAAGTGCCATTACTGTGAAGAGGTCAATTTATGGAGTTTGCGCGCGGGCAATTAATCATACCTGGAATATACATATCTGGACTATTGAGATCATCTCTAGGAGGTAGAAACCACCCCTCTTGACCACTGGGACCAATCGATTGTTTCCTTGACCAAGGCTTGTGTCTCCATGGGAATAGGACTAAAAATAGCTTGTTGACCACATATCCATTCGAGACATTGAAGTAATGTTTCAGCGCCGAAACATTGACATATCGATTGAACTATCTAACTGTCAGAACTTCGTCTTCAATATGTATCCTCATATACTAACATTCTGTTCCACATATTCTGTTCCATGTTTTAAAGCTGTTTGTCCAACTTGGAATCCCATTTGCGCCGTAGGATCATTTATAAAGTCTCCATATGCGCCGAATGCACCAGCAGTCCCTGGAGCTTGTGGTTGGTAGGGGTTTCCATAGCCTGATTGATGCTGTTGTTGTGGCATTGGGGGAGGTGGTGATCGTAGCTGAGGGACTGTAGAGACATGTTGAGGTACTGGGTGGTGAAGAGGGGGAGAGTTGGCTGGAGGGAAGTTCCCATAATTTGATCTTTGCATATTGACGGTCCGATAGAAGTAGACGAATAGCGTCTGCTGCGATTAATAGTATGAGAAGTGGAATAATAAGGGGGTGGAAAGTGGTATAACTATCATACAATAAGTAAGAATCGCGCCTAGGTCGAACACATTTCCATTAAGCATTGAGCTTCGGGTGGCTGCTATAAGCATATAGGGCGGCCGCTTTATCAGTCGACGTTTATCGTCTTATCGGTGATGCTTGGCACAATTATTCTGCGTGCTTTAGAAGAAAGTGTCCATATTAATCCATAATCTTCTTTAATGGACTCCTTTTAATAGTGCCACAGTGTTACATTCTACGAATCTATTGTTACGACTCTCACGGCTGTTACGAATTTCTAATACTCAAGATGTTGGATACTTTTGAGATCCTCACTACTTCTGGAGTGGTACTCTGGTCGAAACAATTTTCCCCCGTCAGCCCTGCGGTTATTAACAGCCTTATCACGAATGTCTTCATTGAAGAACGAACCTTACCCGGTGCCGGAGTTGCAGATGATATTTCTGCTGCAAGTAATCCTCCTTTCAAACATGATCAGCATACTTTGAAATGGACGACATGCAAAGAATTAGGCTTAATATTTGTGGTATGCAAAAGTAGTCCTGTGGCGCAACGAATCTTGTGGAATTTTTGAGGCATCTCGTGCTAAGTTGTTTTGCAGGTTGTGTACAGGTCATTGCTACATCTGTCATGGATTGATAAATTGGTGGATAATGTCAAGACGATATTCGTGGACTTGTATGGTGATCAACTGAGAAAACCACACACAACTGTTGTCGAATGTCCTTTCGATGAATATTTCGACCAACAAGTACGGGAGTTGGAGAAGAGTGCTTTGAATCAGGATGCTAGAGTTGCAGAGGCTTCTGCATTCGAAGAGTCGATTTCTTTGATTTCTACGACCTCGGACAATGAGCCTCCGCCAATGCCTGGATTACCCTCGAGAGGTATGCGCCAGTGTTTTTCTCAAGCGCAAACTTACTAATATTCCACAGGACAATCAAAGAATAATGTCAAAGATATCCCTTCCCCCGACTCGACTCCTCTCGGAACACCTAATTCGCGGCCGAGTACACCTGCGAGCCACATATTGAGCGCAAAGGCAGGTCCGGGTGGAAAGGTTTCTCGAAGAGCTAGAAAGGCAGCCCAGACTCCTACGTATGCATCATCCGGCGATGAATCTCACAGAAAGGGTAGAAGTGTGAAAACCGGACCAAAGAAGGGAAGGAAGTGGGATGCAGATGGAATGGCAGATGAGGATAGCGATACCCCCCTCGACTATTCCGCGCCCGCAAACGGGGCTACTTCTGGGGAGGACGAAGGTCGCCCGGGGGCCGTGGAGGGAGTTGAACAAACCTCATGGGGTTCAAAAACTGGAAAGGGGCAGTTCGTATTGAAGGATCTTGAAGACGAAGTCCATTCGATTTTAGATTCCGCGAATGCGAAGAAGGCGGAGTCTAGCGCTCCAGCAGCTGGCCTAGTAGGATCTAGCTTTAGTGCTATTGGAGGATTATTTAGAAATGTAGTTGGAGGAAAGACTTTGACTAAGGAGGATTTAGATAAAGCCATGAAGGGAATGGAGGATCATTTATTACGAAAGAACGTCGCAAGAGAAGCCGCGATGAGATTATGCGAGGGTGTAGAACGGGAATTAATAGGAGTGAAGACTGGAAATTTCGAGAGTATGTATTGCACACATGATTTTCGTTAGAGCACCACTAACCATTTGCAGGCGTTCAAACAAGAATCGCAACAGCCATGGAGGCATCACTAAGAAAAATTCTGACTCCTACCTCATCTCTTGATCTCCTTCGAGAAATCGATTCTATTGTCTCACCTCCAGCTTTGTCGTTGAAGAAAAAGAGGCCATATGTCATGTCCATTGTCGGAGTCAATGGTGTTGGTAAATCCACAAATCTTTCCAAGATCTGTTATTTCCTTCTACAAAACAAGTACAAAGTCCTCGTCGTAGCTTGCGACACCTTCAGATCCGGAGCCGTCGAGCAATTAGCCGTTCACGTACGAAATCTGAAAGAACTTACCACCAGAGAAGGTGGCCAAGTAGAACTATATCAAAAAGGCTACGGAAAAGACGCCGCAAACGTAGCCAAAGACTCTGTCTCCTTCGCTGCTCAAGAAGGCTATGATGTAGTTCTAATTGACACAGCCGGACGACGTCACAACGATCAACGACTCATGTCCTCGCTTGAAAAATTCGCTAAATTTGCTCAACCGGATAAGATCCTCATGGTAGGCGAAGCACTCGTTGGCACAGATTCAGTCGCGCAAGCAAGAAACTTTAATGCAGCATTTGGGCAGGGCAGATCCCTAGATGGGTTCATTATCAGTAAATGTGATACCGTGGGAGATATGGTGGGTACCCTGGTTAGCATGGTGCATGCTACGAATGTACCGGTGCTATTTGTGGGCGTAGGTCAGCATTATAGTGATTTGAGGAATTTGAGCGTTAAATGGGCAGTGGAAAAATTGATGGCTGGGAATTAAAATAGACGAAGTGCTTCCTTGCTTTATATCGACATTCTAGTACTTTCATTTTAATATACCTGGGTATCTTCAGCTCGTGCAAATACAAAAATCAAAGATTCCCATCTCATGACGTACAAATCAGATATCCAACTCAAACTAAATTTAAAATGCGAAGGCTCAATCAATGATCCTCTCATCTGATCCTCTTTGAGCAACATTAGATGGATGCATCAGCTCTCACTAGATCATCGTATGAGACTAGATGGTAGACATGAAAAAATCCTGGATCTACCTCCCATCTATTCACTCTCTTCCTTCTTCTCATTCTATTCCTTTCTTTTCTTTCTGCTGAAGCCATCCATCCATCCATCGATCTCTGAATAGTGAATAGCAGGTTATAAATGATACACCAAATACCAAATCCAAAACAAATACAGAATATCAACCAGGAATCTATCTCCTCGTCTATCTGGACCATAACAGATTAACAAATGAGAGTATGGGAAAGGGGGATGGTATTGCAAGGAAATATGTGTACGGAGTATACCTACCTAGGTAGGTATCTAATGAGTACCTATCGAAGCTGAACTTGGGACTTGCGGCTTGAAAATTTTGATAGGGGGGTTAGCGAGGGATAACTGATTACCTACTTGGGTATAGATTCTTGTAGTAGACAGCTTGTAAGAGGTGGTCTCGTTGGAGAATTTGGGGTTATAGTGATGGTAGTATGGGTTGAGATGTGATGGTATGTGTAAGTACGTACCGAGACAGTAGATAGATGAGGAGATGGCAAGAAATATTGAGTTGTCATCGAAGTCCTGAATATTCGAAAGGAAAGGAATGAGAATACCGTACAACTCAGTAATCTATTTCTCACTCAAATAAAGCACACTCGGAACCAGTACCATCTACGTTTGTTCTTGTATAATACCATTATTATTTTTAAACCTATAAATCATAAACCCGTATCATCTAGCAAACCGCTCTATGTACTCCATCACTCATTGGTCTGTTGCCACCCTTTCCTTGTCCCTTTCCATGCTTATGTCCCACACTTCCGTGATTCTTCTCCGCGCTTCCATGTCCCTTAGCCAATTGTTTGCTCAAAATGCTCAGATCCTGCTCATCATTATCGATCAAATTCTGCGTCGTGGCACAGATATCTGAGATCAACCGATCCAATAGATCAAAACTCATACTCTCTCTAACTACCACTCTTAAAATCTCAGTCTTTTCCTCGTTAGGAGGAAGTGGGTAGTTGGGAATAATATATTGTTTAGCGCGAAGAAGATTGGAGATAGTCTCTTGCTCGATGTGTGGGAATTCTTTCTTGAATTCGTCTGAGAAACGGAAGGCGACGACGGGGAGACCGGCGTTGTAATCAGCGGAGGTTTCATCTTCTTTGCTGAAGACGGGGGCGCTTAGGCCTTGGAATGTGTGTTCACCTTTCTTGCGGTGAATGTCGGAAACACATGTATACCATCCAGTGGCTTCGAGGGATTTGGAAAGGAGACGGGCGTTGCTCATGCAATTTTCCATGATTTGACGGTAACCATTGAATCCAAGATGGATGAGGTTATAGTATTGAGCGATGACTTGAGCACCTGGTCGAGAAAAGTTAAGAGTGTAAGACTCTTCTGTTCCACCTAGATAATGGAGTTCGAAGACAAGATGCTTGGGAAGGTAAGACTCATCGCGCCAGATGATCCAACCTACACCTGCGTACACAAGACCAAATTTGTGACCGGATGTGTTGATGGATTTTACTCGTGGGAGCTCAAAGTTCCACTTTGGACCACCAGCTTTAGCATGGGTGAATGGAGCTACAAAGCCTCCGGACGCAGCATCGACATGGATTGGGATATCAACTCCAGTCTTGGCTTCATAGTCATCTAAAATCTTGGAGATTTCTTCAACTGGTTCATAGTGACCGGTGTATGTACTTCCTAAAATAACGAAGATACCAATAGTATTCTCATCGATATTCTCCTTGACCAATTCCGGATCAAGTCTGAAGTTTGACTTTTCAGAAACAGGAAGAATTCTAGCCTCAACCTCAAAGTATCTGGCGAATTTCTCAAGAGCTACTTGAGCATTCGATCCCATGATGATATTTGGCTTGGATTTATCTTTTCCTTCAGCCTCACGCTTTTCTTGCCAACGTCTTTTCATAGCCAAACCACCAAGATGGATAGCTTCTGAAGAACCAGTTGTTGCAGATCCAATAGCTTTCTCTCCCTTTTGTGCTCCCCAAAGATTAGCAATAATAGAAACACAACGGGTATGCATTTGCATCATTGCTGGATATTCGTCTGCATCGGACATATTCTTTGAAATATTCTCGAACATTAATTGTTCAGCATGAGTTTCCATGTATGTACCCACGAAACTGATGGCGAGATTAGCGTTTTTCAACCGGCTTCACGTTCCTCTAATAATCTGAGCAATTGAACATACCTTGCTAGGTTCAAATTAGGTCTGCCATCAAGATCTAATTCATCTTTCAACATTTGATGAACAGCATCTGCTGGTGCTCCATCTTGAGGTATTTCGAACTTGGAGATTTCTTGTTTGGAAGCATATCGAGTTGAGTATGGGGTAATATGGGAAGTTCCTCCTTTGGTGTGTACATGCTTTTGACCGGCTTCTTTCATATGCATACTCTGTAGATTCTGAATAATCTGATCTGGGTCGACCTGAATTGAAGATACGGTCAGTATGGGAAGCTTAGCAAGGGAAGCTTGGGAGAATGTCAACTTACATGGCGTGCGAGAGACATGGTGATTATGTTAGATTGAAAGTTGCAATGGTGGTATAGTATTTGAATTTTCTAGAGAAGTATGGGGAAAATAGCAAGTTGATATTATGTTAATAGTATTGAGAATGGTGAGAAGGGAGAATGATTTGAGATGTCAATTTCCTAGCTGGTAACACAGCAGCTTTATTGAAAGGCATCGAACAAATTCACTCACTTAGCAGAAGCACCTTAATGAAGATGACGACATCTGATGGATTGAACTCAATGTAGCTTGCAAGCACGGGCAAGCACCAGCCACTAACCACCCAAAAACCACATAAAGAGAGTTTCTTTTACCTGATGAATACTTGTTGATCCAATTGAAGTGGCCTTTTAAACATGCTATTCATAGAAGCATGGATTGATTCATGGTGAAGTTTGACTGCTTGAGATCGAAAAGCTCCGCCAAGCGTCATAGTGGCTCCACGGGAAATATGGTGGAAAAGCTTGTTTCGTAACCCTGCTACCAGGCCTCAAGTTGTGGAGCTATCTACTCCCTGAGTCTGAGTGTGAAAAGTCTTGAAGCTTGAAATAATAATGATAAAAGTGGTATTGATGAAGAAGCTTCATTCATTGTGCTTAGACCGGGCCAAACGAAGCTCCAGAAAACGATGAGATGGTTGGAGCTATTGTAGAAGGTGTTCCAGATGTGTTAGATGGCAAGAATTGATCGATTTTGTGTTTTCTACGGAGTATGCTGTTCCCCACAATTGCATCCTCTTATCGTTATCGTTCGATGATGGTGAGGTGAAGAGAGTGTCCGTGAGGTGGTGAGCAACTTCCAGCCAGATTCTATCAGGCTTTTTGAACCGCAAGCGTGTCTACAGATTAGATCTTGTTAACCTTGGAAGCCTATGATAGCAAGAACGGCGACGAGTGTAGACAGCCAGAACCTTGTAAGATCACAACTATTAGAATAAATCAACCTCTTCCACTTCTGCAACTTGGATACTGAACGCTACATACCCACAACACCAGCTAGAACTATTTACATTAAATAGGCGGTAGCTTCCGTGCTTCCCGTCCGATGTCTCCTGTTTCCTACAGTACCAGACTCGCCTGACATCCATCTATGAGAGACCACGACCACTCAATCTTTGCACAACTTTCATTAAAATCTTACACAAAATACCACGTTCGTCATACCATATCTTCATCGGACTGAGCGGACTTTCATTTCACACCTTGTCCGTCGGTCTTTACAACCTCCGATCGAGGGGTAAATGTCCAATGAACAAGAATGATTGGCTGGTAAGCTGCATCAAGCAACAAAGCATCATAACGCCTCCTCCTTCTCTTTGGATCGATGATGTTATGGATCTCGTCTTCTTACAAAGAAACACGCAAGCATTGACTGACTTCCAATCCTTCTTTGGTACGAATACGCGTATTGAAACAACACAATACTTGACAAGCAAAAGCTTGACTTTGGAGAGGAATATATATCAATTGGTTCCGCGATATCTATCGGTGTCTCATGTTTGACTTCTGTCGGTGCTCTTGGTATATCCACATCATATTGATTAAAGTTTCATTGCCAAATTGACTGGTTGGTTGGCCTTCGCCTCAACCTTCTCAGCAAACGAATCGAACCCGAGCCGAGTTGTCTCTGTTTCAAATCATTTACGCGGCGTGAGAAGGCGTCATTGAATCACTAGTACCTTGGCCCTGATCACAGCATTCCATTATATTTATATCTACTTCCTTTATTCCCGCCTCATTTCTCTTTTTACATTTATCAATCATATCAATATGAGGTTCTCAACGACTCTTTTGCCCTTTGCGGTAGTTGCTACCGCCTTCGTTATTCCTGACGAACAGATAACCAACCAGATCATTGTCGAATCTCAGAAGTCTTCAAAGACATGGCTTGATAGAATCCCAGAAATCAAGGACAACTTTATCTCCCATGCCGAAAAATCCTTGAAAGACGCAGTTGCATTCAGCGAGAATGCCTTTGACAACGCTATCGATACCCTTTCCGAGGCCGGTCAAAAGGCCCAGAATGTCATCGAATGTCACCACTCAATGTCAAAGTTTGATATATCCGGCTGGTTAGACTCTGGCATTTCTGCCGTTGAGGATATCGATATTTTCGATCACCCTCATGAGAAGCCTCCACATCACGAGAAGCCTCCACACCATGGAAAACCTCCTCACCACCCAAAAAACCCACATCACGGTCATGGAAAGCCTAACAAGACTGTATATGAATTGATTGCTAGCAGCAAGTACACTACCAAACTTGCTGAGCTTATCAACGAATATCCAGATCTTGTTGATGCTTTGAACGGCACGGCGGCAAACTACACCGTATTCGCGCCAACCAACAAGGCTTTTGAGAAAATTCCAGAACATCACAAGAAACCTTCAAAGGAATTGATCAAGGCCGTCCTTGAATATCACGTATCTCCGGATTTCTACCCTGCTGGTCGTGTCCTCGTTTCGCATACTATTCCGACCGCATTGAAGGAAGGCCGTCTCGGTGACGAACCTCAACGTCTTCGTGTCGGTTTGGGTTTGAAGGGATTAGCCGTCAACTTCTACAGCAGAGTCATTGCTGTCAATATTGTATGTTCCATCGTCTCTTCCCATATCAACATAATACTAACCTGAATTTCAATAGTTCGGTACAAACGGAGTAATTCACGGCGTCGATTCACTTCTCCTACCACCTCCCCCAGCCCTTAAGATCATCGAGCTCCTTCCTGGCGAGTTTTCAACTCTCCAACTTGGTCTCGAAAAAACCGGTCTTTTCGATGCCATTGCTGCATCTCATCATACAGGAGGAACACTATTCGCACCCAGTAACTGGGCATTCCAAAAGCTTGGTCCTAGAATCAATGCTTTCCTCTTCAGCAATTATGGTCAAAAATACCTAAACGCTCTTCTCAAATATCACGTTGTTGCAAATCAAACACTCTACTCTGATGCTTTCTACAAAGCCAAGTCTGATGATCAGAGCATCAATGAGATTGATGGAATCGATACTGAGAACATCCCCAAGGGACATTTCCACGTTGATTTACCTACCTTGTTGAAAGATAAGAGTCTAAGTATTGATGTTGGCAGATTTGGTGGTTTCATTACTATCAGAATCAATGGATTCAGCAGCGTCAGTGTTCAAGATGGTATTGCAAAGGATGGTGTTATTCATGTTTTGAGCTCCGTTTTAATTCCACCCAAGACTCCTGGCGGAGAGATGTGGGCTGGTGAGGAATTGGAGGTGGAGGATCTGATGGAGAGATTGATTCCTTATATGAATGAGGAATTGTAAGTAGGGGTAGGGACGAAGTGTAACAAGCGATCAGGATATGGAATACGGAACATGTATATTACTATTCGATATCGAAAACAAATAAGAAATTACAGATTTCTCAATCAATATCTTTCCTTTGGTTGTGCAATGCAAGTTCCACTTCTCGTTACATATTCTGAATTTTGGCACCAAAATCTTACATGGTGACGTCGGTACTCGCCGTATGTGTCATAACAAGATCACATATAGAGTGCTTCATTATTTGTATTCGTCAACTTGTCAATTATCTTTCAATCTGACTTGTTCTTCAACCTCGTTCTCATCTTCGTCTCCCATTCCTTCTTCCCTCAGAATACTTGATCAGAATCTCAATCCATTCAAGTCATTTTATTCCACTACCCCTCATCCACATCCACCCCCACTCTCAAACCCCATTCGCCAATCCCATCCACCATCCACCATCCAATAGCTGACCACTCCAACCATTCTCATCACGAGTAAATCTACACACACAATGGACTCAAACACTACTCAAACCCAATCCCCACCCTCCAATCCTCTAAACCCCCATCACAATCTTAAACTTGTCCCCCTAACTCCAACCGAACATCTAGATGATTTCTGGGAGATTTGGAGAGAGGAGAGGGGAGTTATTTGGTCGTATGTTTTCTTTTCTTCGTCTACCTACTTTCTCTTATTCTTTTTCTTATTGTCCCTTTTTTGTTTTTTCTTCCCGTATAAAAGCATGAGGGAGGGAAAAGGGGGAATGAGTAATCTGATTCTAACGAAGTGGGGGGAATATAGAAGACAAGCCCCTATGAAAACAAAAGAAGAAGCATTAGAGTTTTTGAAATATATTTTACCGAGGACGGAGCAGAATCCGGGGGGAGAGGCGGTGGGGATTGATAAGTTTGCGATTTTGGTTGAGGGGGAGGGGGAGGGTGGTGAGTTTTTTTTCTTTGGGGTTTTGTTTTGGGAGTTTGTTTGGGGTGTTTTTTTTGTTTTTTTTTGTTTTTTTTTGTGATGAGTGAGGAGTGAGGAGTGAGGAGTGAGGAGTGATGGGTTGGAGTTTCTTTGGTGGGAGATGAGGATGGGGGGATAGGAATGTCAGAGAGAGGGTTGGTTCTACGCGAGAGTTGAACAAAAAAGGAGAGGAAGGCAAGCGCAATCTGGAAGTCTCCAGGGTAGCTTCTGATATAGTTAAATTATTGAGCTTCGAGGATGAAATATCATTGCTCAGTAAATAGTTGAAAATCTCAAGTTGAGCTTGGAGGATAGATTTTCTCTTCGATCCTTAACTAAGGATCGGGTGAGAAATGGTTCTATGATTTTGAAGTGAGGGAAAGAGGTGTGTCAGTTCCATGAGAGTGGAGGGAGTTTGAACTCTCGGAGAGATGATCTCGTGAAATCTTCAAAAGCTTGAAGCTTTATCTCACACCCATTTTTTCAAGCAGCCCTTTGATATCTTGATCCTCATACACCTCTTCCTCGCCATCTCTCCTTTTCATCTTCATTACTTCTCCTTCCCCTACTAACATCTCGCAGACCGACCCAAATGCGTAGGTTTCGTCGGCACCAACCGCCCATCGCCCGAGGGTCTCGAAATGGGCTATTGTGTGAATCCTGATTATTATGGTAATGGATATGCTACGTGGGGAGTAACTGAATTTTTGAAGATTTATTGGGGGATGGAAGGTATGTTTTCTTTTTCTTCTTTTCGTTCCTATTTATTTCTTTCGTCTGTAATGTAGATAGCATGCTTAGGGAGGGGGAAATATTCCTTTACCCATAATCAATCCAAGAATGTTCTTCAGAGAAACGAAACAGGACATACTAACACAGTCATCTCCGCACATAGAAAGATCCCATATCCCGCATCTTGTGGCAAAAATCGATCCGAGAAACAAAGCAAGCGAGAGGATAATAGCCAAAGTCGGGGCGAGAAAGGGAGAAGTTCTCGAAAATGTGAGTCTCTCGTGCGGAAAGAAGATTGGTGTTTTATAGAGAGAGGGGGAGAAGACTAATGATTTTGTGATACGAGTAGTTTTATTCGAGAAGGATCGATGAGGGGAAACTGAGTGATATCAGATGTTGGTATTTGGATAGACCTAGAGTTGGTGGGGAGGGGGAGGGGAAATAAGTAGGAAGTTTAAGATATGCCGGGTAGAAAGTACCGGGGCCCATATTGAAGGGAGTAATGTGGTTTCGATGCTTTAGCTGGTATTTGGATGCTTGGGAACTCGAGGTTCATTTACTCGAGCCTCCTTTCCCCGTCTTGAGGTAATCCTCTATCTTCTGAAAAGGCCGTGTAAATACTTGGAGTTACACTTACATATGAATAACCCGAGAGGAATATTGATAAGGGTTTAAATGGAGGTTGGTCTCACACCATAGGGGTGTCATGGGGGATGAGATTGTGAGTGGTATAATTTCGATCGAAAGTGGATCGGATGAGAGTTCTGTGTTGTAGGAAATGTGATGTCGAAAAGCTTTCTGACTATTGAATCTTCTGAGAAATTGAACCTGACAATGTGGTGTTGGACAGTAGTAAAATGCTAGCACCTATGTTGGTTGTTGCCGGTTTGATCCGTAAGTTCTAGATCACTGGGAGTGTAGGGACGGGACGGGCAACCAACTGATTGAAGACGCCGTATGTCACAGACAAAATGACGGCCCATTGGAGCTAGTAATGTGGTGTAGTGATTAGTGGAATCATAATGAGTGAATTCATGTAATGTCATCGCCTAGCTTGGTTGGTAATTCACTCGATTGTATTGTACGGCTTATGAGATTTCTTTTCATAGGTACCTAGGTATACAAAGCCCACCATCCCTTCTCTGAGGGTTTAAAAACAAAACTTTCAACCTCGATCTTCAAGCGACTCGATCACCAAAGTTGTTCACCAAACAACAAACAACAAACAACGACATGGCTTCAGCAACGACCCGACAGGATACCTTCCATCCATTTCCAAGAATCCCCCTCGAGCTTCGTCTTGATATATGGAGATTATCGTTCCCTGGACCCCGGTTGACCCGCATCTTCTTTATCGAGGGTCATTTCATGAGCAATGCCACCATTCCTACTGGCCTTCACGTCTGCAAAGAATCACGAGATGAGACTCTGAGATTCTACAAGCTTTGCTTTGCTGCGGAACCTTCGAACGCCCGTATATACTTCAACGTTGACTGCGATGTTCCACACCTTAAAGCTGATCCTTTGGATTCGTACTTTTATGAATTACACGATGTATATACAGGTGGTATGGACTTCCCTGCAAACATATCATACCTGAGACTGTTTAGTAAAGCTCATGCCGCGATCAGAAACGATATGAAAGCTGTCTGCTTAGAAGGTTGTAGGCACGTTGCCCCTGAATACGAAGGTCGTCCCATGCGCTTGTTTGGGCCAAATTGCCGGGTGTTTGACTTCCATGGAATTTACTTTGATACGCCAAATTTGTATTACGGCGAGACTTCGCAATTTGGCTTGCGCGAACGGATTGAAGAAGTATTTGGCACTTCGAAGTTCACACACATTGATAGCCATCCATCATATTTTCGTGATTACTGGTCACCAGCCCCTTACTCTCTGCCATTGGATTCTTTTGGTCCCCTCATTGAACAAGTTTGGGCCGCGGAATTTTATGGATTCAATGACATTGTCTGGCAGTTTATTGAACAGAAGGTCAACACGACTCGTGAGGAATAACGAAAGGTTAGTCTGATCAACTGGTCAGTCTAATAGTTTGGAGAGCAGTCCAGCAAGTCTTGATCTGGCCGGTCTATATTTGAGGATCATGCAGTGTCTTGCACGGAGAATGAGATCCATCGTTTGATCTTCACACTCTCGAAAATGATTTAGAGGAACTGCAATAATAAAATACCAATAATACATTTGTACAAAATCACCATGGCCCGTGCACACCCATATGTTTGTTTACAAGGTGCTTTCTTCCAAACACACGCAACTTACTGATGTGCGATAACAAACAATTCAAGGCTTCAGACTGAAAGATAATACAAAACGTCCCTTATTTCTCAAAGTCATATGATAGATAAATAGCATTTGCCTTTACCACAAATAAGAGTGTTGTGGTACTCGGATCAAGTCTTTCCTCGATAATCACCTACCCCTCCATAGGTCCAGTCCAAACCACCTCCTGCGCAACCACAGACTTATCAGGTGTCCCGAATCTTTGGGATTCCTCCATTTGACTTTTTCACTCAATATCGCATTTTCCCCATCTAGTTCCTACAACGATGTCATCTAGACTTCCCAGCGGCGGTGCACCTCGTCTTTCCACTGCACCCAGTAGTAGTACCAAACCTCGACAGCTGGTATGATTCCCAAGCCCCTCTAGATGCTCTATTAATATCTCATTTTCACTTAAATATTCTATCAATCAAAGCTTTCGTCTCGTTCAAAACAACGCATCCAACAATTCTAATTAATAACTCTAGTCTCATCTACACGCACAGCTCGCACAACTCTCTGCCAACCTTGGTGATCTTGAGAATCTTCTACGAAATACTAGTATACAAGCTGAGTCTATTCGAGGCTTGGGTGCTTATCATGGAGGGTTGTAAGTTTACTGTTTCATTCCTCAGGTTCTCCAAACCAAATTCTATATCAGGAATATGGCTAACAATTTCCTTAATAATATAGATTCATGGCTGCAAGCAAAGTTTTAGGAGAAGAGACAATCGCGGGGAGTGCACAGCAACAACAACAAGGACAGGGGCAAACAAAAGGAAACAACAATCGGGCAGCAGAGCGTAAGGAGGACTCTGATTCCGATTTCTGAACGTACTTTCTGGCTACGAATAGTCTAGGAGGCAGGAGGCATGTGGATTCGGATATGAGAGCAAAACATTGAAACCTACACACGCAGTAGGATATCAAACGGCCAGTTCCGGCATGGGCAAAAGATTGCCGTCCCAGTTAAGACTGCGATTGCCAATAGGGCTCTCGGCATGCACATCTATCTCTTCACGGCTTTACGGCATTTTAAAGCACGATCCTTCGCGAAAGACTAAGATAGCAACCCTATCTCCAAAGGTATCATTTCTCATGCTTCTCTCTATCTCGCGTCGACCAAAGAACGTAAGAAGCAGAAGCAGAATACGGAGACGAACCTCACTCTGGTGGGCTTGAAACAGCACCAACCATTGTACTAGGAAAAGGTTCAAGAAGATTAGAACGAATGGATCGCTGATCGATATTGACGAGCGAATTGTTGTTCAATGGGGAGGATAAAATCTAAAAATTCAAACAAAACTTTCTATGTCTCCCTCTCTACCCTTATTTCCCTAGCCATTGTCTTTGCTCATACAGCCAACCGATGGCTCAGCAAATTCCTTAACTTAATGATTTCCTCAAAAAGCTAGCTTATTCGATTATGAAGATGTCAATCGTCGCATGTCGGTGCAAAAAGCAAAGGAGAATCTCCCTCGCGTGGGGTCGAACCACGAACCTCTCGATTTATCTGTTTGAATGAATTGCTTCACTTAACAGTCGAACGCGCTAGCCAATTGCGCCACGAGGGATGTTTGATGCTGAGCGAGTCGCATATTTTGTTATATAAATGTAAGACTTCAAAAGACCCACATCAACTCATCAGAAGGTGGGGGACGACATGCACTGAAGACCGACAACCCACAGTTATCCATGTTTGATATGGCAAACACCGTTTGAATGATATATGTGGAAAAACGTGTCTGGGTAGATGAATATCAAGAGTCGTTGGCAAGAATATGTTTTGTTGTTTGAAAAATGCATGCGCTTGGAATAATTCACGTACACTGCTGTTGCTTTTATGTGGGTGGATGAAGAGACAATTACTAGGTCTTTGCCAGCCTATATCGACGACCTCTAATGGTTAGGAAGTCTTATTTACGAAGCCTTTCTTCGTTCTGGTTGATAGTTCCATCTCGTCTTCAACATTCAGGGTTCGCATGCGTGTTAATGGTGAGTAGCTCTAAATGCGTCACCCAGTTGATGTTGCGGGTGGTTGGGATCTGGTTCGTCATCAAGAGCTTTGTACTCACCTTGAGATTAGAAAAAACATCTGTGGCATGCTGTTTTGAAGATTGGCAAAAGATGATCAGAATTCGTTTCCATGGTAAAGCGTCGTGACTTGCAACGTGAATGGCAAAGAAGTGTGAGAATGAAGTTGTGCCATTGTAAAATTATCAACTTCAACTTTTCACATTCAATGTATATAGACGGCAGTTTTGTACTTTGGGCAAGGGCCATTTCAAGGATTTATCCTCACGCTACTTACTTCTTCCGAGTCAGTTTTCCAATGAACTTCACTCCAGTGAACCGTATCCATGACTTCCACATGTGTTCTTTGCCGGGCACGAAGTCGGGAGATGCTTTGGATAACCATAATGGAAATACAACAGGCCTGTGGCTCAATCATTGTCTCGCTATAATCGATGATGAAAAAATTAAACCCCTTATCCCGAGATATAACAAACCAAGCTCTCATAGCAGGGCCACCTGATTATATCCCGCCAGATCAGTAAAACAATAGATATTGAGAGATTAAGGCTATCTTCTCCTACCTGGCCTTCTGTCTCGAATGATACAATCCCAATTTCTGTATTCAATTCAGACATTCAACTCAAACCTTTCCACCTGAATGGCTCATCAACTTGCCAACTCGTAGACCTATGTATCTGACATTTTCTCCCGACATCATCACCCTCAACTGTAAAGGTTCACTCGGGATGCCAAAAGCAGAGCCTCCAAGGGTTCAGCTATAACGTCATAGCCTCCACAACACCTGTATTATCCCATGCCTGAGATATTAAGGGTGATTTTATATAGCCTAGATGGGATATTATGGTAGATACCAAGTAATGCAAATCCAATAATTGAAGACTACAGTTCCATATTTCTCAAATGATAGCATCGCACGCCAATCCCGTGAAGCTAGAACAAAATTTCAAAAACAAGACTACTCGTAACAAACCACAATACCAACACAGAAGAACTGACTCCATCCAAGCCTCTAGAAAGAGATCCAAAAATACCAAAATCCAACCCAGGCCACTTAGCTACTTTATCTACAAAGTACGACGCTACGATAAACATCTTCGGCAAAAGAAAGGAGAATACCGATTCGCCTACCCCTCTTCTCCCCACTTAGAAGTCTCACACGAACCGAGCTACCCTATTTTTTCATCTCCACCTTTTTCACACAAGATTTTCTCCCCACATTCACTACAAGACCTCCAAAAAATACCATTTTGCCATTCTATTCAAGGTAAAAGAAGAAATGGCAAAAGAGAATATAAGTCAAGGTGGTCCCCAACTCGCAGAATGCGGCTTCTGTGGATCGAACACAGTGCCTCCAGATAAACAGATTGAATCTATTGGGTTCCTGAAGTGGACTTCAGTCTGGCGCTCTCCCAAGTGAGCTAAAGCCGCTTGAGAATGTGTTTTTTGTTAAGAATGTGCCCAGAACTAAAATATATATATCAAAATTAAAACTAGACGAGGGTGGTAGTGAGATAGATCGGGACTGTATTGGGGTGGGGATGGGGATGGGGGTTACTACTATTGCGAGTACGTGGATGTATGTATAACATTGAGTGTAAAGGTAGTCTGCGTTAAATTGAAGTAGCTAACTGTATCTAATCTATAAATAGTAGTATGTACACTCGATCTATGTGTTTCTCTTCTTGCATCTTAAATGTATCTGATGTAAATCCCTCAAATCTATATTGCCTGCCCAATCATCCCAGTCGTTGAATCTCCTCTATAATCTGCTCTATTCTCCCATTCAAATATCAAAGGACTAATGCCAGATACAGGTCTCGAAGGTTTCTGCTCCTCCTCAATCGGCGAGACCACATATGTATCCTCATCATCCCCAACTTCACTCCGTTCCTCTCCTCCAAACGATCCTCTTCCCTCTTGACCTACACCCCGCGAAATTGCACTTTCCGCAACATCTCCTAGCGGACTTGAATATCCAGTTTGGGGTGTTTCACCACTAATACTGATTTCACTTTTCCCAGCCATATCATTTGTATTATGCTTGAGACCAGGCACAACACCTCTCTTCCATGCTTCAAATGTATTCCTCCTCACTTTTTTCTCATGGACCACACGTTGTAAATCTCCTACTTTATCTAATTTTAATTCGTAGCCGCCGATGAAAGCGGGACGGTCGGGATGGTGTTTGGGGGATCTACGTTTGCGACGGCGGGCAAGAAAGAAGATGACGAGGAGAAAAATGATGATAACTGCGGCACCACCGACAGCGCCTCCTATGTAGGCTCCGAGATGACTGGTTGAAGAATTGGAGTTGGTGGGGATTGTTGTGGTGGATGTGAGAGAGGCAGGTGCTTGTGTTGATTGTGGTGATGGAAGGGAAGATAATGTTTCTAGAGTGGTGGGAATGATGTACGATGGTGTAACAGTCGGGGTTGGAGTTAATGATGTAGGTGAGAGATTTGGAAGTATTGTAGAAGAAGGGCTAATGTTTATAGTACTTGTTGGTGCCGCGGAAACCACGGGAAAGTCAAATAAGACGGAAGTAGATGAAGTGATAGGTGCGGCATGTTCAGTTGCTGGTTGGTCTGAAGATAGGGTAGGAACTTGTATGACCGGATCTACATACGGAACGGTGGTTGTTGAGAAAGTAGTGAGAATGAGGACATTAGGATCTGGGAACGAGTACGATGGTGATTGAGTCAACGAACTCTCAGGAGGAGCAAGGGTATTACCAGTCGACGGTGGAATAGTAGCAGTATCGGCTGGACCGATATAGTTAGGAGGCGCAGATGCTAAGATACCAGCTGCGTCTGAAACCGCGTCGTTGACCCGTAAAGAGTAGTTCAGGGTCGCCATCTTGTATGAGGTTGTAGTATTGTATGAAGCTGTAATATTCTTAAATCGGAAGCCATGAGCGACCATAGTTTCCGCTAATGGTATTTACAAAAGCCATCTTGACTAGACTTGATCGAATTTATCAAAGAACTTGATGTTGAATTTGGACCTGTGTGAATGGGCGAAGACAAAGCAAAGTTATTATTTTATTCACGACTTATTTTGGGGATCATGTGAAGAACAAAGAAGGTGAATCTTGACTAGCTATAGTAGCGACGATAAATTACTGTTATTGTTCAGAGTTATAAATAGCATCGACGAAGTATTTCCCTTTTCAACAGACAGATTGAACATCGCACAAAGTTTTTTCGGTCGTCATATCGAAGATGTACTTCACAACTGATAATGCTATTGGAGGCTTGTTGAAACCTGCTTATGATATGATTATGATCAAAGATGCAGGCACAAGTTCTGATCAATCGGAGCATTTGTGGAAGTTGTTTTAGACGGTAGGGTGTGACCTGTGAATGGCCAATTTTTGTATTGGCTTGAATCCCTTAGGCTAATAATCGGACACCGGGTTGCTGAAAGGATGCTCCAAATGATATTGAAATCGTAAACGGATGTCACAATGGAAATAGAGTGAATCGGTCGTCTTGAAGAGATAATTCCAAGATATTGTGCCATCCATAGATAAGGCAAACAGATGATGCTGCGTCGGGTCTTATATACCCTATCAAATTCATATCGCCTATGATACTTTTTCTCCACAGGACAAATTAGGAAACAAGACGAACAAAACAGGTGAGTTGATGGAACGAAGCCTAGGCTTCCTGATTCACCAACAGCCTTAAACTCCTCCTCTCTTTGGACAATCCGACAACTATCAGATGTTTGAGTGAACAGACACTCACTTGAGATGAAAAGATAAGGTTCACGAGGATAAATGACTAAGGTTTCAAACTTGTGTGTTTGTACACCTTAGTATGGAGGGCATTAAGAAAACTGATGTATAAAAGTTGAGTTGCCTATTAGGGTGTATATCTTGAAGGATAAGAGGGAAATGATCTCCCGAGTTACTGGGGTCCCACGTTTCTCCCCCATTTACCCTCAAATGGTCAAATAAAATGGCATATCTTCACTTATCTCATCTCGATATGACCATCTGGCAGCTATGTTATCAGCGGAATCGAGGGACGGGTACAAGCGTTGTCGCGAACCGAATGAGAGGCCAAGATACAATCAATCAGTCTTCCCAGGAATGCGAAATACCTTGTCAGTCTTGATTAGATTGTGCAGGATGGTATCATTTGTAGACCCGATGTTGAAACCGACGAAAGATAGATAAGGCGTGATGCAGATGAGATTAGAGTTGTGGTTATATAAGATGTCGTGTGCCCTCATCTCACACTGGAATGAAAAGTGTCATATTTCATGGTCGAGTTTTTGTGATGGACAATTTTCGACTGAACTTCGTGAAGAATTTCGATCTCAAATCAAGGAAGGTCACATGATGAATAAATATCAAGGAACTTTCACCATCCCATCCCCATCTTCTCTCCAAGCAAACACAAACACAAGGTTACAATCGTCGCACACATATACAATGCAAATACAAATACAAACTTCTTACATCCGCAACTACCGTCAATAATTACCGCAATATACGAAGTTCATTATCGACATGTCACATTATTAAGGCAATAACTCGATCCTCCATCGGACCATCGCTCGATCTTCACATTCAAGAAACCAAGTGTTGTACGGAAATTAATTATCCAACGGCGATTCCTCCTCTATCGATCTCTTTCCTCAATTTATCCAACGGACGACCTCTCCGAGCCTTCAAAACTAGTTTAACAAGTATGGTAGATGTCAAATCATTTCCTACTTCAGATTGTACTCGCGAGGGCAGCCGTTCGAATGAATTTCCTTTGCATTGTTGAACCCCCACGCATGTTAGCGACTTCATCCAATGGTTTTGCCAGTTTCGCATCCTATCTCAGCCATTTCGAAATCCTTTAGATTCGTTTCCCAGGGTGTGAGGGTGCCCAGTATCCTAGGTCTCGCTCATCTTTGCCCCCGCATATCCAATGCAGAGCACATGTAACTCCATGAACGTGCAGAAAAAGATCCTTGATGGCTGACCTGTTCACCATTTTGAACTTGTTCATGGTTCCCCCACGCAAGGATATACTAATCACTAGGCAATTTTCAAAGTCGTTTCGTTGATTTGATACTGAAGTCTGAAAGTAGGTTACCAATAGTTACTTCCTAGGATTGGTGCGGAGAATGAACAACACTATCATTTCAG